TCCACGGCATTGCACTATACGGGTGCGCTCACATACATGCAGGCAATACACTCATACACATAAAATAAAAATAATAAAATATTTTTTAAAAATTGAATACTCTTTTTGTTTGCTCCTGCACATGACAGAACAGCATTAAAGGTATAATTTTTTAAAGAATAGTATCATATTTCTCACGTAGATATAAAATGAGCAGATGTCAAGTTTTATTTAACTCATTAGTGATTAAGCCAAAAGATGTTACAACCAATTCAAAAAGCATTTAAAAACTAAATATTTACAGGGAGTATTAGAATAAGATTGTGAGATCAGACACAAAACTGGTTAATGTCCAATAAAAATCAAACCATAATCTTTAAGATCATCTGTCCTAGTAAATTAAAATTATTTGCATTGCCAACAAACAAAAATTACATATTAGATTGAGTGTGGTGGTGCACAACTTTAATCCCAGCACTTGAGAGGCAGATGCAAGCAGAATGCTTAGAACAAAAACTTGAGAAACTGTGTGCTCTCAAGGGCCTGTGATGGGCGTGGCAACCTTGAAGATCTCCAGTATTTCCTTATGATAAAGAGCACCTCGCTTTCTTCTATTCATATTAATATTTTCGTCAGACTTTGATTTGGCTACATCGGTTCTTCTTGCCTGAACATGTCCTTAGTTTCTTTACAACATAAGCTGTTAAACATTTCCCAGTTCTTTAAGTTTTGATTCCCTTTAAGTTGTAAGTTCTATTTTCAATTTGTTTTTCTCTTCTTGGATTATACTATAAGCAGTCAAAAGAAGTCATGTTGTACCCTGGAGACTCTGCTTAAAGATTTCATTTGCGAAATGTTCAAGTTCATCACTCGTAAGTTCTGTCTTCCACAAAGCACTGGGACCTGAATACAATTCAGCCAAAGTTGTTGCCATTTTTAACAAAGAGAGCTTTTCCAGTTTCCAAAAATATGCTCTTCATGTCCATCTAAGTCCTAATTGAAATGACCTTTACTATCTATATTTCAACCAATTTACAGCTCATAGTCATTCAGATAATCTCTAAGAAAGTTGAAGCTGTCTTTATAACTTCCCTCTTCTGGGTCCTCACCCTGATAGCCCTTTTTGTCCAGCCTCTGCCTTTTGCCCAATTCCAAAGTCACTTATACTGTTTTAGCTATTGGGAACACAAGAGTGAGTTACTACCCCCTGGGCCTTTAAGTTTTTTAATATTAAAATAAAATGAGAGCTTTCTAGATCCTGCCAGATGATTCCCCTTTGTTTTAGTTTGCTTTTTTACCACTATGATAGACACCATAACCCAAAGCAACTTAGAGGAGGAAAGGGTTTATTTCATCCTACAGGTCACAGTCCACCATCGAGGGAAGCCAAGGCAGGAACTCAAGGCAGGAGTTTGCAGCAGAAACCAAAGAGGAAGGCTGCTTACTGGCTGGTTCCCAGGCTCACATTCAGCTGTCTTTCTTATACAGCCCAGGCCCACCTGCCTAGGGATGGCACCATGCACAATGGATTGGGCCTCCTCCATAAATTAATAATCAAGAAAATGCCCCACCAACATGCCTATAGGCCAAACTGATGCAGGACATCCTTCAGCTGAGTTTCCCTCTTCCCCAGTGTGTCAAGTGGAGGTCCAAGGTTAGCCGTCACATCTTAGAAGACGGCCATTAAATAAGGACATAATATAAAAAGCTACTAAATGAACGAGAATTCCAGCGGTGAAGAGAACCCCAAATTCTGTCTCCATCTTTACTCCTCAACCCCGAGTGTGCAGAAACAGAGTCAGTGCAACTCAGCTAAACACAAAAGATGGGAATTGAGACCAAATACCAAAGCAACCAAATATCTATGCGTCAAGTCTTCTTGACTTTGGTCCAGACAAGGAATTTTTTATAAGACCACAAATGTACGGATAACAAAAGCAAGAATAACCAAATGAGATTATAGCAAACTAAAAAGCGTCTGCACACCTAAGGAAACAATCAAAAGACCTAGACAGTTTACAAATGGATAAAAGGACTTGACATTTGCATATATGACAGTGGTCCATCACATTTCCTAGTGACATCATATCCATCTTAGTATGTTTAGGTGTGTTCTATAATGTCCCCATTATAGCAAAGTCATCTAAGAACACATTTCTTCCTATGTATCCCTGCTATTAAGTGGTATATGACCATATTTGTAAGCTATGCATCCTACAAGGAGTTAATATCCAGAAGATAAAAATAAACATTTTGGGACTGGAGAAGTGACTCAGTGGTTAAGAGCACTGGCTGGGCCTGGCGTGATGGCACACACCTTTAATCCCAGGAGGCAAAGACAGGTGGATCTCTGTGAGTTCCAAGTCAGCCTGGTCTACATAGCAAGTTCCAGGCCAGCTGGGACTACAGGAAGACCCTGTCTCAAAAAGAAAAAAAAAAACAAAAAAAACAAAAAAACAAAAAACACTTGGTTGCTCTTACAGAGGACCTGGGTTTGATTCCCAGCACCCATGTAGTGGCTAATAACCATCTGTAACTCCAGTTCCAGGGGATCCGATGCTTGCTTCTGACCTTCACAGGCACTGTACAACGTAAGCACACTTACATACATGCAGGCAATACACTCATACACAGAAAATAAAAATCAGCCAAGGGTCTGACTCAGTGGTTAAGAGCACTGACTGCTCTGGCGGAAGACTTGGGTTTGATTTCCCAACATCCACACGGCAGCTAACAACCATCCATAACTCCAATCCCAGGGGATTCAATGCCCTCTTCTGACCTCCACAGGCACTGCATGACACATGCGGGCAATAAATTCATACACATAAAATTTGAAAAAAAAAAAAAAAGAATGGACAAAAGACCTGAATAAGCATTTCTCTAGAGAAGACATACAAATGGCTAATAGATATATCACTACTCAGCAGGGAAATACAAGTCCAAGCCTCAAGGGGATGCCATCTCACTCTAGTTAGAATGGCTATATCGAAAAGACAAAAGATAACAAGTGCTAATGAAGACGGATGTGGGGAAAATGTTATTGTGGGAATTTATATAAATATCGCCATAATAGAACACAGCATGGTGCTTCTTCAAAAGGAATAAAATGGGACTAACTACCACAGCCAGTAATTCCACTGTAGGGGTACATCCAAAGAAAATGAAATCAGCACATTGGAGGATTATCTGACGCCCAAGCTTATTTCAGAACCATTTACATGTGCTAAGATATATGAATCAACCTACGTATCCATTAATGGATGAATGGATAAAGAAAATGTGTCACATATATGTACACACACAATGGAATACTATTTAGCTATGATCTATGAAATATTGTCATTTGCAACAACATGAATGGAACCAGAGGACACTATGTTGGGTGAAATAAGCCAGACAAGAAGACAAATCCTGAATGATTTCACTGTATGTGGAATCTACAATATCCAACCCCACAGAAGCAGAGAGTAGAGTAATGGTTGCTAGGAGCTGGAATGAGTAGACAATGGGGATCGTTTTGCTCATGTATGAAATGAGAGAAGGAATAAAGTCTGGCAATCTATTGCAGCACAACAGAGTGACTCCAGTCAATAATACGTTGTACGCTTCAAACTAGCTAGAAGAAAGGATTCTGGATGTTCCATCACAAATGATAAATGTTTGAGGTGATGGATAGGTCCGTTACCTAGTTGCTAAGCCGTTTCTGAAGTACTCCTGCAGGGAGGAGGGACATTCACTCAACTTATATGGCTCAGGAAGCTCAGAAAATTACAAGATTCATAAGGCCCCTCCCTGGGGTTATATCAGCATTAACAATTACCAAGAGACCCTGATCTCCTTGCACGGTGCATAGGGAGTCACAGGGACGCATCATCACACATGCTGGGGTGAACTTTCCAGTCATGCAGCTGCCAGTAAACTCATTGATACACTGAGCTAGACTTGGACAGAATCATTTATTTGGCCTGTCATTGGTGCCCCATCTGGACTGAACGGATATTGGTCTATGTCTCCTCAGGAAAAGTCACACAATGCCTTGAAATGTAAATGTAAATATGTATCAAAATATAGCATTGCACCCTATACATTTGTACAATTATTATGTGACAAAGATAAATTTCTAATACAATTTTTGAAGCATTTACAGGGGCTGGAGAGATAGCACAGCAGTTAAGAGCACTGACTGCTCTTGCAGAGGGCCTAGGTTCAGTTCCCAGCACGCACGTGTGGCTAACAACCATCTGTAACCCCACTTCCAGGGGATTACCCTCTTCTGGCCAGTATTGCACAACATGGGTGCACTTATATACACACAGGCAAAACAATTATACACATAAAATAAAAATAAATTTTTAAAAATTTAGATGTTTTCAAAAGGAATTACAAATCAGTGGATAGGGAGGGTTTCGTTAGCATCCCACAAAGTAAAGGGCCATTACCACTCCTAAGCCAGGAGGGACAAGTAAATAATTATAGAAATCAACCTATTTGGAAAGTGTTGTGTGACAAGAGCTACCCTTGATAGACAGAACAGCCCACATGTGTCAAGCAGACAAAATGGAAGGAGAGAAATAAATTCTCTGGCCTCCAGTCTGCCTCTGAGTGACCAAACTCACCTGTAAGCCAGAGGTCAAAGGACTTGAACTCTCCCTATAGTGGCCACAGGGCAGAACACCTAAGTAAAGGATCTGGAAGAGCATATGAGATGTGTCGGCCCAGTCTGCAGTTTCAGGGAAAAGGAATGAAGAAAAGGAGGGAGGGATAAAAACTCTTAAAGATGAGGGGCAGAAGTAAGGAAAGGAAATAACCCAGGAATGAGGCTTCCAGATCGTGGGAACTGGGCATATATTACTAGGCAAACCGACAGATAGATCAGAGATGTCCAAACAAGTTTGTTCCAAATGAAAACTTTTATTAATTGCATACTTTCTTTCTCATTTATTAAGTTTCCCTATAGGACCTGAACCCAAAACACATTCTAAGGCTTCCCATCGACACATTCTCCACCAAGCCCCCTATTTTCCACTGAGCTCCTCAACCCCACTCTCTAAGCCACGTACTCTCTTCACAGCTTAGGAGAGAAGCCGGCCACCGCAATGTTCTCCCCTGTGATGTAGCTGGCAGCTGGAGAGCACAGGAAGGACACGATCCCCGCACATTCTTCTGGCTCCCCAAACCTGAAGGAAAGAAGAATGGAAGTCACAGCGAACAGCACTGGGCTTGAACAGCACTGGGCTCTGGGAGGGCCAGGGGGGTGCCTTAATGTTCACCAGGATCAGTGGAAGGTGATGGCTGGCTTGGTCCCCAACCCTGGACCATACGGTCTTTGGACCCCTCAAAGGGGAAGCAGCCAGCACAGTGGCAGAAAATGTGACGTCTATCTCACCTTGACGTTTAATTTTTCCCTGTAAGGAGGTACAGACCACCAAAGCCCCTGGCCCCACCTACCGCTGCAATCCATATAATTCATTCATGTCGGGCTGCAAGTATGGCATTGTTTTCTCCTAGGGAAAGATTTCAGAGCTAGTGTTAGACGGGACTGACAAGGGGAGAGTGTCATGGCTGACTCATGCCTTTGTGGGAGGATGGACAGAACGCTCCTCTGCTCCCCACAAAAGACAGAGACCCCACTCATTGGCAGGGAAGGGAGCAGCTGCTGTCCAAAGACTGGGGCTGGGATGGGATCCTGGCCTGTGTGAACAGTCTCTGGGGGCCTCAGTTCAGATGGAAGCCTGGCCTGAGAGGGGGCCAGTGGGCCCATGGGGAGGGGCCAAGACAAAGAGGGTGGGGAGCTAGAGGAGGCACTGGTACTTCTCACCACTTGGCTAAAATCAGTCTTGATTATTCCTGGCACTAGGCAGTTCACTCGGATGCCTTTTGGAGCCAGCTCCACAGCCAGAGACTTACAGAGGCCCAACAGAGCTGTCTTGCTGGTGTTGTAGACGCCCAGCTTCTGAAAAGACAAGGAAAGAGACAGTAAATTAGCACGGGAGGAAGACGTCTGATTCTGGGCTGCAGACTGAGATGCTGTGCCTGACTGAATACTGACCCAAGGAGAAACTCTTTCCTTGTATCTCACCACCCCCACGCTAGTGTTCAAGGAGTGAAGTTCTGGGGTGGAGGGCTTCTTAGGCTTGGGAAAATGACAGCAAGTTGGGAAATGCCAAAAGGTAGCTGGCATGTGTATCCAGCTTGATACAGAAGTTAAGTTTGTTTGAGCAATCAGGAAACTGGAATTAGGAGATCTAGGGTGGAGTTCCGGCAGTAACACAAACGGGCTCCACTTACCCTGGGCAGATGCTTATAATGTCCTTGAGGGCAAAATGAAATTATAATATCTGATCTGAGGGATTCACATTGAAATGCTGGAGGTACACATCTTCTATATTATCTAGGATCAACAGTCAGTTCTCCCACATCCATCCCCCTTCAGGACCTCGCAAGAAACCAAAGCAGCTGGCCCTCATGCTGCCCTACCAGAGGGTCTCATACTCACTGGTAATGGCAAGTAAGCTGCTATAGAGGACACCAGAATGACAGAGCCTCCCCTGTGAGAAAGGGAGATGGAATGAAGTTAGAGACTAGGTCAATTAAAAAACCAAATAAGGCAGGAAACTGCATTTGTACTATGAGAAAACCAGCTCAGAGTTCATGATGAAACACATAAACAGTTAGGGAGCTATCTGAAACTCAGAGGAGAAGCAAGACCTCTAAAGATATGAATGGACACTAAAGTCACTACCACCCAATAAACACAGCCAAAGCGGGAACCCTTGGATAAGGTGCCAAAACTGAGGCAGCTCATACAGAGAACAGACCCCAAGTAGTGTTCAGGTGTTCTAGACCTCTGAAGAGTCAAGAGATCATTAAGGAGTCTAAGCCTGGACCACCCCTGGGTAGACACAGGACACAGAAGAGCCAGGCTGTATATCAGAAGGTTAGAAGGAAAAAACCCACAGTGCTTCTGATAAGAAGGGAAGCGGGTGAGGAGGACCCATCTTGGAGGGCAACAGTTAGGGAACAGGAGGTGGGGATCCCAGGCTGCTTACTCTGCACCCTTCATTCCTGAAGCTGCCAGTAAATGAAATCCCTGCATTCCCTGAGATGAAAGACACAAGGGCCAGAGAAAGACCCTTTGAGGATCTGGAAGGCCAGCCCTGCTCCCTCTCCAGAAAATGTATCTCCATTGAGATGCCTCACCCTTGGAGAAGAAGGCAGGTCTGGAGAGAAAGCGTTTCCCAAAAACCACGGCTGTCTTCTCCGCGCTCCTAATTCTCCACTACCTGGACCTGTACCCCAAGAGCTTCCAGGGGGTAAAGATCAATGCGCATGGCCCCCACTAGCCCCTCATGCACTCACTTCCTCTGCTCCATGTGGGGCAACAGCTGACTCAGCAACAAGGCAGGGGACTTCACATTCACATCCAGGATCTGAAATACCAAAGAGTACAGATGTAGCGGACAGATACCAGATACCATCCATCATAGGTCTGGGGAGCTAAGAGTCCACAGCAGGAACAAAGCTCCATGACTGTACTGGACATTGCGACCTTGAGTGCTTTTACTATGTGTAAGCGTCTGAGTCTGCCAAAAGGCGCACCTACTTCTGAGGTCCCTGCCCTGTCCAAGCCTCAGAGAACCACCAGATTCTGTGTTCTGAGGACTGTCATTGTGAGCTCACACACAACCTGCACTGCTGCCCTCTAGAGAAGGCTGAGGAAGCACGTGGAAGGGAAGAAATGTGGATAACTTGGTTATTACTGTCGGCACGAAAGGGGAGGTGTGGATGAGAGACGGGTAACCCAAACCCAGCACCTGGTCTACCTATGTCTAGGACCAGAGCTGGTTTTGTCTGCTTGTGTGCTTGCTGCTTGGGAATATTATTTTGGCTTGGTTTGGCGTTTTTGCAATGCTCAGGCTAAAATCCAAGTCATGTTTTTTTTTAAAAAAAAAAAAAAGTGGAAAAGCCTGCATGTGACTGAAGGGTGAGGTGGGGAATTAGAAGATGGATCCAGAAGGCTGTGGAAGGTGAGAACTACAGAGAGAAGTGAGGCAGTCTGCCAAGAGAACACAGAGGCATGGTCATGAGGAAGAAGACCCCCAAGAAGGGAGTGGCTCACACAGATCTTGGGCCCATTCTCTCTCTCCAGGGTCAGAAGGGGACCCAGGATTGTCCAGTCTTGGGTGGGCTCTCAAGATAAGAGACGAGGGTTCTGAAGCAGCAGTAGGCGCACTGAATACCCAGTGGCTTTCAGCTAGAATGGCGGGGCTGGAGGAGGGCCCCATCTGTCATCCAGAATGAATGATACACAGTGAGTCTAGGTTGTGACAGCTTCCTAAACCTCAGCCAAAGTATCTCTTCCACGGATAGGAAATCTTTCCTAACATCTCAGGACTTTGTAGTAGTGAGCAGTACAAAGAGAATCAGGACTACCTATCTATCAGGACTACTGGAGCCTGATAGAGCCCAGGCATGGCCAATACCTGTTGAACTTACTTACGGGCAGTTTGACGCAGGTGAGCCCAATCTTCACCCATCAGAGCCAGTGCTGATGGGGCTATATGGGAACTTAGGAGCGGGTGTGTGTGCACAGGCATGCGTGCAAATGTGGCAGAGTATAAGACATTCTTCTCACCTTGTCCCAGATCTGCTCACTGGCTCCCAGAGTGCTTCCCACCAAGGGATTGACTCCTGCCACACACACCAGGAAGTCAACGCCCCCAGAATGCTCCAGGGCCTGCAGAGGAAATGATAGATGTAGGTAAAAGAATGGAGTAAAGGGTAGCAATGACTTAAGGAAAATCAGTTATTATTTGAATCTGAGCTGTCCTCCATGAGTACATGTTTTGAATGTCTGTTTTCCAGTTGGTGGCGCTATTTTGGAGGCTATAGGACCTTTAGGTGGTGAGTGAGGCAGCAGAAGTAGGTCATGAGGGCGCGCACCTGCCCCTAGTTTCTGCCTACTCTCCACTGTGAACAGACTTGGCCATTGCTTTATAACAATTTCCCCCAAAATAAAGCATTCTGTCTTGGAGGCAAGCTCATTAAAACACAGGAGATGAAACTAAGGAACATTCAATCCTTCAGGGAAGCTTGTTAAAACTCAGGAAGGAAACAGAGCAATAGCTTCAGGAAGACTCACTAGGCCCCTCCTCCCAAGTGTATATAAGCATAAGGAATCTGGAGAGGCATTCACAGGCCATCAGAGCTGCCCCGAAGAGGCAGAGATCAACCAGCCTGTCTGGAGGTGACGCTCACCAAGCAGTGGAGCTGCCTGCAAGTTGTGCAGTAAGCTCCAGGTTTCCTGCTTTTGTGAGCTGTTATCCATGCTGGCTGGGGTGCGCTCTTGGTGATACAGTTGTTTTTGAGCCATCTCTGCTTGTGTAAGTAACCCCTCACCCATATGCCTGTAAACCCCAATACACTTCATTGGGTCACCAAATTAGGTTTCAGGGGTATCCTTATTTTGGTCTGTCATTGCTTCTCTATCTGGGGTTCACGTCTCCCCAGGAACAGTGTCATCCAACACTCACATTCTTACTGCTGTGCCTTCCCCACCATGATGAACCGAAACGAAAAGCCAAAATAAATCCTTTCTCTCCTAAGTGGTTTCTGTCAGGTATTGTGGTCACAGAGATATATCATAACAGATACAGGTAACTAACTGGCAGTCCTGGCCAGCATCAGCACAGAGTCAGATCACCCAAACAACTGGATAAACTGTTTCTTGCCTTCTTGGAAGCATCTGGTTGGTCCCTGGGCCCTGTCAGTCCAGACCCTCACTTATAGGGGTCGTGCTTTTCCTTTCTCCATTTCTAATCAATTCCTTCTAGCCTGGATCATCCTTTGCCCTGGCATACCAAGAACTGCCTGTTCTCTGCCACAGCAGCTGCCCATCCCATGCACCTTCAGATCCTGCTCATAACTCACCTCTTCCAGGGTCGTCACACAGAAAGCCCCTGCTGCAGAGGCTAGTCTAATGGGCTGTCAATTAGGGCAACACGTGTAGGTGCCAGAGCTGTGCTGCGCAGACTTCATCATTGAGACAGATCACTTGTGGATCTTGTGGAAAAGCAGCTCTCAGCTGCCAGATTTGAAGTTCTAGATCTCCAGCAAGCTCCTAGGTCATGCCCAACTGCTGATCATCAGACTGCTCTTTGATTGGCACGGTTATAGGCCATATGAGTTCCTTCCTGTCAGGAATTCACTTAGACACCTCTGATTGCCTTTAACAGGGCCTTTTCCTGATATTATTAGGCTGACCTAGTTTATAGTCCTAGAGACCCCAATTCCTTGATGTCAGGGTTAGGGTTATAGCTTTCCGTCTGTCCCAGCCTATAGCCCCATTACCTTGGCCACGAGGCACTCACGGTCCTCAGCCTTCCCTACATGGCACACGGTGCCTGTCACACTCAGCCCCTCCCCCTGCAATGTGGCCACGGCTTGATCCACATTCTGCTGCTTCCGGCTGCTGATGACCACATGTGCCCCATCCTGGGCCAGACGCCGGGCGATGGCAAAGCCTATCCTGTGGGCAGAAGTGATGGTGGTTTGAGCCCTCTGTCTTTCTCCAAGTGAAGTTTGATTATTACACTAATTGAGTTCTCTGATGTTGCCCAAGAACTGCTTCTAAATCCTTCATAGCAGGCAAGAGAAATCAGCGAGTGCCTACCAATGGTAGCATTTCACAATGTCCGCCTCGCCTCACTCACAGCTCTATGTAGGATAAATATATTTTATAGATAAGGATATTTTCATATCGATTTCTTAAAAGAAGCTTTAAAAAGTTGTTCCATCAGAAGAATTGTAGCCCCCTGGATACCAGGCCTAAATTATAGAGAAACTTTTTAACTGTCCAAAATGTTTCCCTTTGTTCTATAGCCATGGGGCTCTGGTATAAATTAGACTTTCTCCAAGCCTGACATCGTTCCTCTGCGCTGCTGGAAAACACACTCTCATCTGGTTTTCCTTACACTAAGGGCTGGGGCTGGGGAGAGAGCACAGTGGTTAAGAACACTGACTGTTTTTGCAGAAGACCTGGGTTCGAAGCCCAGCTCCCACATGGCAGCTAACAACTGTCTGTAACTCCAGTTCCAGGGGATCCAATAGTGTCTCTGTCCTCCTTGGGCATTGCATGACACGGGTGCACTTACCTACATGCAAGCAATACATGCATACACAAAATAAAAATAATAAATAAAAAAAATTTTTTTTTAAAAAGAAGGGCTGATGCTGGGCATGGTGGTGCACACCTCTAATCCCAGCACTTGGGAGGCAGAGGCAGGTGGATCTCTGTGAGTTCAAGGCCAGCCTGTTCTACACAGTGAGTTCCAGGACAGCTGGGGTGACAGGAAGACCCTGTCTCAAAAAAAAAAAAAAAAAAAAGAAGGGCAGAGAACTCTTGACTGGTGCTGGTTAAGCTGCTCTGAGAAGGGAGGATCAGAAGGCATGTTCCCACTGTATCATAGAAACCAGGTGCCTGAGCAATGTAGAATTTTCAGTTTATTGATTTATTATGAATGCTGGGTATTGGGAACCAGAGAGTGACAAACTGGAGGGACATGAGAAGAAACATGATAATGCATAGCTGCTTGTGTGCAAAAAGTCTGAGCTGGTAGTGAAACATCGCCCTGTGCATTCCTCCTGATTCCAGGGGTGGTATTCAGTCAGCGAAACCCCTGAGTCTAAGGCACAGTAGGTGTCGGATTCCTTCCTATTAGATGAGGATTAAAAAGACAGTGGTCACGTGGCTCTGAAAGATGGGGGTCAGAGGTGCTGTCCTGGTAGTTCTTTGTTAACCATCTAGGGATTGTCCAGAGACTAGATTCATACTTTGCCTTGATTGAGTCAGAGCAGCTGTTTTTGTAACTGCAGATCTTTTGGGAGCCCAAAACCAGATATATTAAGGAGAGATGTAGAGATACGGAGTTAAACCAGAGCTGTGTCTGATGGTGTTAGATGTGTTCAATGAGGGTTAAGGGCAGGAAGTGTGTGAGATGGATATGTCTGTCACACCTCCAGGTCATGAGCCAGTTGGGAACTTCCATTCACTCACCCTTTTGTAGAGCCAGTGACCACAGCCACTCTATCAGCCAGGGATCGATTATCTGCTCCTTTGTTGAACATTCTTGCTGAAAGAGGAACTGAGGAGCAGTGAAGACCCCTAAAGGCCTGTGACACAGTCCTGAACATGATAGCCACTGTCTGACCTTTCTCCTCCTGGAAAAGGACCTAAGAAGACAATCGTGATTACGGAGCACATCTTCCTGGGTCCTCTATGGAGGGCGCCACTGAAGTCTCAGGCATATCTTCCACCACCCTCCAAACTTGCCAGCGAAGTACAGAACCCTTCAAGTCCTTTCTGTGACCTATGCCCTAGGCAGACATCCCCCCATGGCAACCCACACCAGCACAGTGTGTGGCTAGGCACAGTGCTGGGCCCTGGGTAGATGTCTGAGAGATACTTGCCTAACCTGTTTCCACACTTCCAATAAGGAATATCACTTACTATGCACTTCGAGTCACCTTTGGACTTCTACACACATCTATTACCCGAGCACTGAACTTCTTATTTACTTTGGTGGCTCTGGAGATGGAACCCAGAGTTAACATATGCTAAGCATTTGCTCTGGGCCATATCCCAAGCCATTAAGACTTGAACTTGTTTCTTCTCAGCAGCTCCAGTTTGTAACCGTTCTTATGTGTTGCAGTCTCTTTCCTCAGGTCCTCACCTATGGCAACAGCAATAACCCTTTTGTCAGAGAGACAAAGCTTGTCTGTTTCCTGCAGGCAAGTTGCTTCCCCTCATCACCAGATTCTCACAAAGTCTAGCCACTCCCTTCAGGTTCCAAAAACTATTATAAGGCCTCTTTCCTCTCCTCCTCCTATCCCAAATTCCTACCATCCAGACTCACATACCTGAGGAGCCTGTATCACTTTATCATTTTAACTGCATCAGCAACATTTCATTCCTGAAACAACTATCTCTCACCCCTCTCAAACCCAGCCCCGCCACGATTAATTCTCATTGTCAACTTAACTGGATTAAGAAATGCCTGTACAGGAGCAGACACAGATCCCAGAGAAACCCTTATCTCTTTCATATCTCTAGACAAATGAAATTTCTTACTATATGATAAATATTGATCCTTATATTTACGGACAAGCATATCGTCCACCACTCATCAAAGAAGCTTCTTTTTGCAACAGATGGAGTCTACTGCAGGATTGCACAACTGGTCAGACACAGAATATCTGAGAGATGCCCAGTACTAGGTGGCACATCTACGATTGAACCTCTACAACGAAGGCTTATGGAACATAGTGGAACAAGGGGTAGAGAGAAAACTAGTGAATCCCTCAACTCTCAACAGTAAAGCTTCCTTATACCATAGCGTGTGATGGACACAGACGGCCACAACAGGCCAGTTTTAAAGAATAAGAGACTGCAGAGCGTGTATCCTTGGCTAGTACTCCTATATTAAACCTCACCCATCCACGGTTCAGGGACCATTGTGGAAGAGGGGGTGGAAAGATTGTAAGAGCCAGGGCTGTTTCATGAACACAGGGAAGCAGAGGCTTTCAGGCCACTGGAAGCTTGCCCATGTGAACTTGTGGCAACGGTGGCATGAAGCACAGGACCCACGCCAACTCAGTTAAACAAGGGGCCGGGGGAGGAGAGAAATGAGTGGCAGACTGACACTAGACTGAGAACTATTGGAGATTGATTGCTACTGAGTGAGGGAGAGTATGCCTTACATATGATCCTCAATCCTCGATGGGCTGACTAGACTCCAGTGGACGAATTTATACTGAATGACATCTAGGTACAAATGTTTGACTGCATAGGACTTAACAGTACATGAAGTCCAGTGGGGGTATGGAGGGGGTAGATGGGGGAGGGGGTCTGAATTTGATTAAGAACTGTTGTATGAAATTACAAAAGCTCAATTAAAAAAAAGAAGAAATGGCTGTGGCCTTAGAAGGAGGCACATCTTTGGGTGTATCTGTGAGAATGTTTCCAGAGAGGATTAACTGGGAGTGGAAAGCCCTGAATGAGATCCCAGACTGAACACACACAGGAAAAAGAGAAAGATAGCTGAGTACCAGTCCTTCTCTCTCTCTCTCTCTCTCTCTCTCTCTCTCTCTCTCTCTCTTGCTCTCACTCTCGCTCTCTCCCTTCCCCCCCATCTTGATTCGACATGACTAGCTGCTGCACATACCCCTGCCAGGCCTTTCTGCCAAAATGAACTGTATCCCTTCTTAAGCCAAAATAAACCTTTATTCTATTAAGTGGCTTTCGTCAAGTATTTTATCTCAGCATGGAAAAAAGTAACGAATCTATTCTCTTACCACCTCATAAGAATACCAAGAAACAACAACTATCTAGATTGGCTACCCTCAGAAGCATACTTCAAGGCAAGTAGTTTTGGGGGAGGTGGTCTGGGGAAGCAATGTTAAAACTGGAGTGGAAGGGGGTTGGAGAAATGGCTCAGTGGTTAAGAGTACTGGCTGCTCTTGCAGAGGACCTGGGTTCAAAACCCAGCATCCACATGGCAGCTAACAACTGTCTGTAACTCCACTTCCAGGGGATCTAATGCCTTCTTCTGACCTCTGAAGGCATTACACAACATGGGTGCACTTAGATGCATGCAAGCAATACACTCACACACATAAT